TGAACAACAGATGGCATTTTCAGAATACACCAGTGCAATCGATTCCTGAACTCCATTGAGTTTTTATAAAAACATAACTAAAGCCTAGAACTTAAATATATATATTGTGTGCAATCTGTTTACATCTTTATAAGCCAGTGTACATCTTTATAACCAAAATGTGTACACATGTATGCACATGCAGACAGACACAGAGAGTGGACAAGCACGTTACTGCCATACATCATAATGGATTTCTGTGTTTAATCCATTTGAAACTCCAGCCCCTGGACTATGTGCTCAAAAGGAAAGTTTTTATCTTACCCCCTTTCTATCAGCATCAATTAGACTGACTTAAAACTGGACTTAGAGAAGCCACTGAAACCATCCAAAGGTCTAACTCTTTCACAGACCCCTTTGGGCAATAGTAGGGCCTTACTTCTGATCGCCATTAGAGAAAATGTCCAATTAAAAATCCTGAACAAGCCCTCTGTGGCCAGTTCTCCATCACCGTAAAGCTATCTTTTGGTTTATATTCTGAAAGACGTTTTAAAGATTTAGCAAATCACCCGTGGCTGTGACTCCAAACAACCGATTTCTCCCTCCAGAGAGCTATTCTTTCACACAAGTTTCAATACTTTTTGAGATTATAAACTGCAACACAGCACCACAGCAAGGAAGATGAATTACAATGAAAGACCAGTGTCATTTGACCTCTGTAACACAAGGCATAAAGCAGCACGCGCTACACGTATGAAAACTTTAGGAGATCCATGGACAAAAGGAAGAGCTGTAGCAAGTGGCAAGGTATATAAACGGCTACTGCTAAGAAAAGGAGACTTGGGAAAAGCTTCAAAGTCCCTGAGTGTGAAGCCCGACAATAAATGGCCAAGCAATCAGGCCTGCGCTCACTGCTGAAACGCCAAGGCATGAGCATTATTACATAAATACATGGGAAGAGCATCAGAGCTCTGTTTGCCTTTCTTGCATTTTACTGACTTGCATCATAAGTCACAAGTTTCTTCCTCAAAACACGTCTGCCACGCGACAGACAGAGCGATCTGTTTGTGCAGACCAACAAAACCAACCACGGCATCTTTCCTCGGGAGCTGATACGCCGCCGAGTACTCCAGTGGCAGATTAGCTATCATTATGAGATTGCACCTATCTGAAGACTGTTTCAGATAGCAGATGCTGCCATGGGGAAAATAAAGCCTTATTCAAGAGCCCAGATACCACCGCTTCCATTTAATGAAACTCCCACATTTTCTGAAGAAATTTTGTAAGTTTGGGTGCTGTTCTTCCACATCTGTTGAGCGCCTTTCACGTCAATGGGTAATTGCTGTTTATTTTCCTGGTACGGAGCAATTGTAAGGGAGTAAGCGTGCCCTCGCACACCGAGCGGTTATGCAGGCCCGTTAGGGAGCACACACATGGCAAAGCTGTACCACCAGCCAGCCAGGACCATACAGAGATGTGCATTCCCTCCTTTTGGCCCACCGTCTCACTCAAGGCTCATTCACAAGTGTTTTTTCCTTATTTAATAAAACAAGTGCTTCTCACAGCAGCCCATTTTCCTCAGACTGCCTAAATCCACTCTGATTTGTTCCTTCTCGTGCCTTCCCTCCGTGCACAGCTTTTCCCTCCATGCCTTCTCGACTGACAGAGCCGTGGCCTTCCCCTTCTTCGTAACTTCGTAACTCCATCCCTCACCCACTCCTCTCCATCTCCTGAACAGCCCTGTCCCAGATACCTGCTCTCAGTAGGCACTACAGCTAGGCAAGAATTCAGGAAAGGACGTGCCTGTCAATAAGGCACTAGAAGCACTGCTGTTCTGCCCTTTTTACCAAAAAGCAGCCCTCCGATCCCCTCCATTGAGAACAGTGAAGATTGTTCTCCACATTCCCCACCTCCGTAGGGAAGTTGTGCCTCTCTCAGCCCCCTTCCCCTCACTAAGGCTTGGGCAGAAGGGTGCTGGCTCCTGCTTCCCTGCCCGACCAAAGGACCAGGGCTCTCAGGGTCATTAATGGGAAATCTGTGCAGAGTTTCACTCTCCCCCCACCCCTTTCTCTTTTCCTCTTTTTTTTTTTCTTAAACCAAAATAGAAAGCACAAAGCTTTGTGCTTCATGTTCCCTACCTGGGGAGCAGGGGCTTGTAGCTCTTTCTTCCTGTTACCTTATGGAAGCTTTGAACCAAAACTTTTTAAAGCTTTAAATGACTTTAAATCTGTGTGAAACAGAACACAGCCAAAGGACAAGCACACAAGGATCACCTGCAGGGACAAACAATCAGGAAAAGTACTTCTCAGTGTCCTCTCATCGAGAGCAGGGCAGAACAAAGCAGGTCCAGGTGAATCCCCGACCACTGCAGAGCAGGACAGTAGGCAGGAGCCCCAAGGACTTCCCTCCCTCAAGAACTCTGAGCTCTGATTTTGCAGACAGGCTAACATTAAACCATCTCAAAACCAGAAACTATCTGGATTCAACTTTGTCAGGGTGTTTTGGTGATTAAAAAGCACAGATGATGTCAAAATTTCAGGGCAGTAGCTGGTGGGGGGGGAACAAACAGAAAACCCAACTTCATTAGCCGACTAGGAGCAGCACTTTCCTACCTGCTACGAAACTCCCAGAGCACACGGAGCGTTGTTACTTTCCAAAGTACAGTGTCAGAGCTCTTCAGAAGGAGCAAAGCTAAACACATGCCAGGTTTTGCACAGAGGCAGTTCCATGGTGTGTGAACAAAGGCTGTCTTCAGGTTCTCCCCAGCTTATGAGGGAGCGGGGACTTTCAGAAAGCGTGGATTAGGAGCACAGATGAATACAGACAAAACAAACTGGGGAGATGTGCCCAAGTCAGAGCTGCTCTGAAATATTTCTGGTGTTTAGATTTACCAATCGGTGGTTCTCCTAAGCTTACTCTAGGATGGAAGATACCAAGAGCCCATTAAAAGGGCTGCATTCCTATCAGAACTTCCAAAAACATGCTCTACTTTGTATTAATAAAGGTTTTATTCTTTGTAAGGTGCAAAGCCTCTGAAAAGATCTGATGTTTGATTTCCCAATAGCAGCTGTCTGAAACCTACTTGGGTACCTCAGAGCTGTTAGTTTGAGCTATCAAACCACGCCACGTTGCAACTCAGCCTTTTTACCTACTTAATATTAGAAATCCCCCAAACACAAATAAACCCTGGTGTCTGCATACAGACCCTTTATCTTACAGCCAGGGACTCTGTTATGCTGTCAATGGAGCAGGCGCCAAGAGCCCTCCCCTTCCAGAATTTCGCCAGTTACACAGCTTGCTGCCCACAGCACAAGCTTTAAAGGCAAGGTTTCTAACAGCCAAGCCATGAGCAGTGCTATCTATTCCCCCACAAACATCTATTCTCCCTCACGGCAAAGCAGGGTTGAGTTAGATTTCTTTCCAGGGTGTTTCAAAGCCTATGCAATATGCTCATTTGAAGTTCAAGATAACACCAGCCTTACTTTGATCACTAGTGTTTGCACCAAAACATACAAATCTGGACTGTTTCCTGATACCAAGAAAAAAAGTAATTACAAAACAAGAACAAAACACTACTGAAACAGGACCCACGAGGAGCTGCCGGATGATACACAGTCCCAAAGTTACACCAGAGCACTCTCAGCCTTGCCAACCCCTCGACTGAAATTGTCTTGTTGAAAGAAGACAATGTATTGTGCAATTCCTCTAAGCGTACCGGGTTTTGCAACTGTAACAGGGAGATATTACACACATATTGCCATCTCATGGATGCTACAAATATTTGTTTAAAATTCCGAGAATGTACTTCCTCACAGAGAAATGTGCGGAATCCACAGCAAAGAGAACTGCTGTAAGATTTACAGCATGAAAGCAGGAACTTTACACTTGAAACGGTCCAAAAATCTGCCTCCGATTCTCTCGTAGTAGTTACTATTTTTACGACTTGGCTCAGCCTTGCTTTAATCTCTTTATTTAGGAAGAAATTGCAAGCTTGCCAACTCTAGCAAAACGTTAAGCACTTCAGTAAATTCCCCGTCGACACAGGTCGTGCATTCGAGGGAAGAAGCAGGGAGGGAGCGAGCCCAGCTCCATCCCCTGCGAGGGGGGTTTAGGAGCGGGGCAGGGAGCGGTGGGCAGCGTGGCTCAGCCCCACACCACGCTGCGGACCCCTGCCCGCCCTGCTCGGCCACGCTAGCGCCTTGCTGGGCAGCAGGGCTCGGGCAGCGTGGGGCTGAGGCCTTCAATACTTGCCCCGTCCAGCTCGGGTACCGGCTGCGAGGCAGCAAAGCCCGCAGGTGCGAGGCCAGCCGGGCACGCACGGAGCCAGGATGCTCGAGCATCCTCGTGGACTTCACAGAGTTACCGAGCCGGGTTGTCAGAACTGATCAACTCCATCCAAACCCAGGGGTTGTTTGAAAAAAGCACTCGGCAGCCCACCGAGCAGCCAGCCAACCAACCAGCCAGCACAAACGCCTCTCGTTCCTGCAGCTGCCTGCGAGCAAGCAAATCCTCCTGCCCAAGTAAGTGTGCAAGTTTCGGCTGCCGCTCGCCTCGCCGCGCACAGCGGGGCACCGGGGAGCTGGCAGCCCCCTGGAGACCCTCGCCGGCTCTGGGTGGCCGGGGGATGCCCCCAGCCCCTCCTGGACTCCACGCCGGGGGCTGTAACCCCCCGCCCAGGTTGGGGCGCCCATTCCCAGCGTTTCTAGGGCCGGGCTGCAGATGCTCGGCCCCGCAAAGGGGAGCCCCGGAGGCTCGCAGGGGGGAGCAGCACCCGCGGAACCCCCCCCCGGGGGAGCGGAGCGCTCAGCCCCGGCCCCGCCGCACGCCCATTTGCGTACAGAAATATTAAATAAGAATAAAAAGAAAAGCCCGGCCAGGGCTCCAGCTCCCTGCACCAGGCGCTAACGCACACGCAGCAATTTCCATTTCGCCGGAGCCGCCGCTGCGAGGAGAAGGAGAGCGCGGAGAGGCTGGGGGGGGGGGGGGGGTAGGGGCTGGGGGGAGGCAGGAGAAGCCATTACCAGAGTTTTGTCCCCGTTCTTGCTGAGGGGGCCTCGGAAAACTCCCTTGATGTTGCGAAAGTGCCCGTTGCTGAGGTGCGCCGAGCTGATGACGATGTAGTAGCACTCCATGGGGCCGGGGCTCCCCGGGCACTGGGGGCCCGCTCGGGAGCCCCCCGGCATGCGCGGCACAGCCCGGCACGGCTCGGCACAGCCCGGCTCGCCTCTACACCCGGCGCGGCGCCTGGCGGGGGAGGAGGAGGAGGAGGAGGAGGTGGTGGCGGAGGAAGAGGAGGAGGAGGAGGAGCGGCGGCATCGCCGTGGCTTCGGCGGAGCCGTGTGCGGTGCCGCCTCCGGCGGGCATAGCGGTATTATAGCGGGCGGCGGTGCCGCTCCGCTGCACGGAGCCAATGGCAGGGGGACAGCGGGACGGCGGCGGCCGGGGGGGGACAGCGGCCACACAGCCCCGGGGGGGGGACAGCGGCCGCACCGCACCGCCACGGCAGGTAAAGGCTGGGAGCTCCCCTCCGCATCCCTTTTTTTTGGGGGGGATGCGCCACCGTGGGTCGGGGCGGGGTGGGGTGGCCGAGCATCCCTCCCACCATCCTCCCCCACCCCTCCCGCGGTTCCCGTATCTCTGCCTATTGAATATTTCTTTTCCAGTACCTCGGGTCAGCCGCTTCAGGGCGGGGTCCCCAGCCCGGCTCTGTAGCCGCTCGCACCCGCCGCTCCCCCGCCTCCTGCCCCGGCCCCGCTGCGCTGCCCCCGCCCGGGGAGGGAGGGAGGGAGGGAGGGATGCAGGAACAAAGGGTCCCCGCCTGCGAGGCAGGGAGCCGGGAGCCTTCCTCCGCTTTTGGCAGGGTTTGGGAAAGGTTTGTGTGTTCCAGATGCTCGGGTCCTGCTCTTTTTTCCTCCCCGAGAGAGCCCTGCCTTGCAGCCGGGCGCTCCCCCTTTGTTCTGCACAGCTACGGGGGCAGCCGCGGGGCCCCAGCCCGCTGCTCCAGGAGGGGACGCCTCAGACAAGAAGCGCAGAGCCGCGATGTAACCTCCAAACCCGGCCCCCAGGCAGCAGCTGCTGCTGGCAACCAAACGTCCCCATCCCAGCAAACCTCTCCCTCTAAAATAAAGGCACCCGAGAAATTTTGGAGGGCGGAGGGGAGCGGGGCAGACACTTTTCCTACCGGGATCTGTGCAGTTTGCATCCCTGCTAAAGGAAGCGACAAATCATGGAGGCGCCTTGCTCCGAGGAGACTTTTCTATCTGCTCTACTTCCCACCCTACGGCGAGCAGCACGACTTGACAGGTGTCATTCATCCCTCTCAGCCTGCAGTACTTTGGAAGGGATCCTGGAAATGCCAAAAGCACTAAGTTTTGACAGCCCCGAGACAGGTGAGGCACCAGAATTTGCTGCTGCTTGTGACAGCCCCCCAAAAATAGGGTGAAAGAGGTAGGCACACATCATAGCCCACTGGTTTTGTGTGCATGTTTGTAAATGCACAGCCAAAAATAATCAGCGGGCACAGTACCGTGTAAGCATGGAGTCAATATCATAAATACTTGATAAGGTTACCAGCATCCCACATTTATGGTACAATTCCAGCCCCAGCCTGTCTCACAGGTGTACATGTAAGTAACACTGAGTTGGGACCCTTCCGTGTGCCAGGTTGCTGGAAGCTATAACATTAGTTTCTGTGGTGGGTTTTTTGATGGTGTTGGCAAGGGAAAAGCTGCCAACTGGAAGGTTTAGTTGAGAAGCTCCCCTGGGCAGCAAGGCTTTCACAAATGTCCCATATTTGGGTAGGATAAAGTAATGAAAAGACAGAGAACAGTAACAAAAAGAAAAAATATATATTCAGCTTCTTTTTTTTGGGAATAGGGCATAAAGCGTATTCATTCCTGGACTAAAACACCAATTTTTTCCACCTTTCTGAACATAATGTTCCTGCTAGGCCAGCTCCTCACAGCCAACCTCCTCTGTGCATTCTCCCTTTCAAAGAATCACATTTGAACGTCTTGGCAATGCCAGCGCTGACCACTTGTTGCACAGTGCGGGTGTTTAATTGCCTTCTGAAACCAGGGGTTCCCACATGCAGGGCCAGAGGGCTGCTCGCAGGGCTTGCATGAGGCACACAGACACTGCTAACATGCTCTTGCTGGGGGTGCAAGGCCATTGGAAATGAGAGCACCCAATAAGCAAAATACAGGTCTTCTACTTTTTCTAATTGGCCACTTTTTTTTTTTTTTTTTTTTTTGGCTTCCTCTCTCACACTTTACTATCTTCAGTTTTCCCTGTGGTCACACATGTTCAGGTGCTTCTTCCTCCAAAATCTTTTCCCTTTAAAAACAAACCTTAATAAATTGCTAATTTCCTAAGCCCCTAACCTCATGGTTCTACATACCCTCAGCCCTACCTATTTCTGTCTCTGTCCTATTCCCCTGAGTAAATATGTGGGGTTTGAGCTGAGGAGACTATTCATTCAAGTCTCTGCCACACAGCAAGCGTGGTGCTGCTGATTTACTCATTCTCTTATTCTACCTGATACTTCCTCTTCAGGAAAATCTCCAAGGAGTTCCTGTGTAAAACTGCAAAGATCAGCTCAAGGAACTGGATATGGATTTGCGAGACCTTGTGGAGAACTTCTGAACTAGAAGCCAGTGAATGAATTACATTAATTCACATACATTGTACTGTTTTGATGGGAGGGGGTTGTTTGGTTGGTTTTGCCTGTGACAATTATATTATGTAGTTCAACACGTTGTAACATTCATCATTCAAGAAACAGGCCTGGCATCATTCAGAAAAAAAAAAAAAATACTCAACGGTATCAATAATCCCCTTTTGTTTAACAATCTCCAAAGCATGCCACAGCATATGCATTACCAAGTGAATATATTCCGAGAAATCCTTTCACTCACTGCTGAAACATATCCAGCGAGGATAGGAAGTAGTATCCATGCAGTAAGTCACAAGAAACCCAATTCAGCTCCCACCACACTTCTTATTGAATTCAATATGATTCAGTTTATCCTAAGAATCTCTCTCTCTAACTGATCTGCTGAGACACACCTCTTTACCCTTTTTTTTCCCCCTTTACTTTCACCATCTCTTTCTATTGATCTCCTTCACTTTTTTTTTCCTCACTAGCCTTCCTTGTTTCCCCCTGTTCCTTAGATGCCCTCCACCCATTCATTAAGCAGAAGGCAAAATGGGAGTATCCTGTTTACCTTTTAAAGGCCATTACGACGTAATGCACGTTATAGTGGCGAAACACACGATACGCTACATTACAAATGCATTCATTCATCAGCTGTGGGGGTGATGAAACTAGAAAAAAGGAAACTGGGACGCTCCTGTAACCTCATTGCCCAGCACAGCACATCCTTCACCACATGCGAAGAACATCGCAGCAGGCTCCCTGTCTTGGAGAGAGCTGCTGCCACCATTGCCAAGGAAAGGCAACAGCGCCTTGGAGCCCTGTGAGCTCTTGGGCTGTGCCCTTCAGCCCTCAAAATGGGCAGCAAGAGGATTGTAAAGGCTTAAACTAATTCTTCTGCTTGATCTGAAAAGCAGCCACAGAAATTTATTAAACCCTGCAGTAGGTAGAAGATTTGTGCTTTGGTTCACCAGCCCCACGAAGTGCATAATTTCACACCACTGTTCCCACAGAGCATTGCAGGAAGCTGCAGCCTCATGAGGATTGCCCCCTCACATGCCCGCACAGCCCTGTCCAGCCCTGAACAAGCTCACATGGCTGAGAGATGCCAAATCTTTCCTACCCTCCTCTTCCAATTACCAGCACTACTGCTGTCTGCCGTAGGATACTGCAGGGAAAAACCTTTTGGTCTTTAGTAAATCAAATACGCTGCTCTCTCTGGCTTGCCTTCTTAATGTTTATGCTGCAGAGTTTCCCCAACAGCTCATGCAAGCTCCTAAAATGATTTCCCCACCCAATTTCTCCCCTCACAATAAAATTGCTTAAAGCCTGTGGCTTGTGAACTGTGCTAGATCCCCTGGCGCACCTCTCGAACCATACTTTGAAGAGCATTGAGGATGCTGGCACAGTTTGACCGCAAGCATCGCTGCTTCATCCTCCTCTTTCAACTTGCAAACTGGGGGAAAGAGACACTCCAATATGAGCTGACATCCAGAGGTAGATATGCCATTTGCTCTGCATTAAACCACACAGCAGGGTCCTCCAAGCAAACCCTCCAGCATGCACACAGGCAGAGCAGCTCTCCACGGAAAGCACGTGGAGCCAGTCAGCAGCACCAGAGGAGTCCTGGGACTGATCCATGACCGACTGCTATGGAGAAAGACTCCTCAGTTTTACCCCATAATATTCCAGTACAATAGTGCAAGGAACAATACAGATAGCACTGGAAAACGCAATAAAGACAAAAATATACCTCTCCATAAATCAAAACCCAAATGCAGTAAGACCACAGAATGGGTGTGCTTCCTCAGAGACATCAGTTAAAGCCCCCAAAAATCCAGCACACAAATTACACAGCCTGCATGATATTAAAGCCAACAGGACATTAATTCCAGAAAGCAATATCCAAGGCAGATCAATCAGCCCTCTAGTGTCCTGTATACTTCTGAAATGAGAGCCAACTAATGAGGACCACACTTCAGTTTTTACCTTCTTTTTTTTTTTTTAAATTGTAACCAGTTAAAAACTCGCTTTGTTAAAAAATACATAATACTTCAAAGATACTGAAGAAGCAAGAGGCTTTCATGCGAAAGAAATGAGGCACCAAGAGAAAACCCAGCAAATAAAAGCAAATTAATGAATAAATAGGAAAATCATACATTTAGAGAACTAGGATAGCAGGCGGGTTGTGGCTGTTTAACAGAAGCAGATTATTTCCCATGCTCACATCCACACAACTTTTTCCAGAATTAAAAGAGTTCAAAGAATCGATCAGCAGTCTTGCACAGTCAATAGGAAACCACCTTTGCTGCGCTTCGCTTGATTACATCAGCGGCAGGAATTGCCACAAGAAGTCCCGAAATTCAGGCCAGGACTTGGCACTGCAACCCATCTTTTCCACTGGGTGGTGGTAATGAGATCAAAAAGTTCAGGAGCACAAACTGCAAAAGCACTCGGAAAGAACCTGCTATTCCTTGATTCATTCTGCCCGCCTCTACACAGGTACCTATTTGTGGGTATACATGGCTACCTATACACACACAGCCTGGAAATGTGCATGTCCATTCCTGTTTATGCCTCACTAATGAGAGGATGAGTAGAATAGTTTCTGAAGTATTTCAAAGCACGAAAGAAGAATATTAAAACATCTCTGGAATGGCTGGTGCACATTCTATAATTAAACGCCGTTTGCTTCTTTAGTATTCAGTTCACCAACATAATTTTCTCAATGTAAAAGCTGAGCAGAGCTGGGGTGACACTGTAACACCGATGACAGGTCAGAAAGTAGAACTATATTATTCCTGAATGAGCCAATATAAATTAGAGACCCACCGGGAAAATAACTGTGGTTAATATTTTAATAAATTTCATCGAGTTCAACACATGACATACTGTTATGGCTTCCTTTAACTTGTGATCTGTAGTAGTCAGAAAATAAAATTAAAATTAAAATTCAAAGCAATGTGTTCATTTCAGAAATGCTACACATTGCAGAGAGATCTAATTTTTAGAAGGGGAACGTTTGGCATCATCTGAAAATCAAAACCCTCTACAATATTTATGGTTACAACCTCCCAGTTTTAAGACACCATAAATCAAACCAGACATTAATTGGTTCACTTTCACAGGGTGCTTGTTCTAACAATACCAAAACACAGCAGAATATCAAGTACACGCTAGGGAAGGATACTTCTAATTCCATGCAGTATGACATATTGCCACGTACAGGTTAGATCGTACCCCTTTACACCACGGCTCATATGAAGAGCAGGTAATGTAATATTGTAGTAACCACGGTATATAATCCACGAGTTTGGTTTAACCCCTCAACAGTGGTGAAGTTCGTTACGCTAATTAAGACAGGCACATCTTTACCCTGCGGCTCCCAGGCATTAGAGCCCACGACACATTTTGTCAGTAACGTTGCGAGGCTTACTTGGGAACCTGAAGCAAGGTTCGGAGGTAGTCAGACCCTTATGTCTGCATTCGCTTACTGTTCTGCGCCAGAGTTTCACCTCCTGATCTTATCTGAACAGACGTTTATGGCTTATTTCCCTTTTTTATTGTACGGCTTAAAAAGGCAGTAGGACTCCTGGCTGGAGTATGCATAAGCCACGCTGTACGCTATAATAATAATTGTAAAAGCCCACAATTTTTACCATCTCTGATCTAAGCACAGGTACATACATGCACTGCTCTAATGTTCTTGGAGTGCTCATTACGGTCCTCCTGAGTGGTGCTCAACACTATCAGCTTCCTGTGGGAAAGGCCCTGTTTACTCATTAGAACAATTATATAATTTTTTCCTTAATAACTACTGACTTCCCAATCTGTCTACTGCGGAGAAAGAATATAATTGCAAATAGGCAAAATCTTTTGATGCTAAAAATACCATCAAAAGAATTTATTCACCTTCCAAAACATGACTAACTTATGTGCTTAATTAAAAATAGCCATATCAAAATAGCCTGGAGCATATTATAGATTACCAGCCTGAAAGATTTCATTGTAAGAAACAAAGTCAGTATTGTTCTAAAAATAGAGAGGATTTCCAAAATCCAGTATATCCTTGTTGGCATTTTGACCATTAAAAAAAATGCCTACATAATTCATTTAATTAAGGAAAAACTTCCTCATTAGCTCAAGCTAAATAAATCGTGCTAAATTTTATCCAAATGTACATTTTCTTGGGTATCTGTAAAACCTGTGTAAGCAGAAGACAAAGCAGAAGACAAAGCAGAACACTATTAATAGAAACACCAAGACAACTGCCATTGATAATCTGAAAACCTGTGCTCAAGCTGCAACACAAGCAGCTTTTATTTAATCCAAATTTTCAGTCCCCTTAGACTTAAATTGCTCTTCTGCTGCTCAATCCTGAGTTCAAAGAGTCCTCTTTCTTTCCAAGATGGAAGGGAAGATGAATGCTGCTACATCTAACGATTACACATTAATTTAATTAAAATAATATGCACTCTGACCTCACTTATTGTTTGATTGGAAAAAGTTTCATGTAGTTTCATGATTTCTCTGCTCTACAGCCAAATAACCTTTCAGAGCAACAGCTCCTGGCGATGAAGTCCGTAGATAGGGCCACCAAAAAATAAATTGTCTTCAGTTCCAACAGACCATCTCCCACTTCCTTCTTTGCATAATATGTAGATACAAAGTTAGGTGCTTATTTTTCCACTTTTATTATTGCTATGTACGCTCTAACGTCACTTGACATATTTGCGTAACTGTGTATATTACTCCTCCTCCACTCAGACCTGAATCTAACAGAGTAGATCTATTAATAAAATATAAACATTCAGAATTTTGCATATTTGCTTTCACAGAATTTCTATACTAACGTCTCCTAAGTATATTGAATTAGCCTTGAACTGACCGTAACACTGGCATTCCCATTAGAACCAATGACACTGATGTATTTGAAATGCAAGAACCAGCAGGAGGAAAAGACTATAAAATGCCTTAAAAGTTGAAACAAAAATAAAACACAACTATTTCCTGGGAACTGGTGTATTGAAAACTTTTTTTTTTTTTAAACAGGAAAATGCAAATTAAAAATAACACGTAGAAAACGCGCAGAAATAAAAATCATCTGCACTCAAATTCTCATGTCTAAAAAAGCAAGCTAAACCTGCTGATCTGGAAATAGCTCCAAACCAGGCAAAG